TTTTTAAATAAAAAAGGCTAGGCATGGTGGCTCACACCTATAATCCCAGCACTTTGGGAGACTTGAGATGGGAGGATTGTTTGAGCACAGGAGTTTAAGACCAGCCTAAGCAACATAGTGAGACCCCGTCCCTGCCATCTCTACAAACACTAGAAAAAATTCGCCAGGCATGGTGGTGCATGCCTGTAGTCCCAGCTACTTGGGAGTCTGAGGTGGGAGGACCGCTCAAGACTGGGAAGTTGAGGCTACAGTTAGCCATGATTATGAACACTGCACTCCAGCCTGGGTAACAGTGAGACCTTGTCTCCAAAAAGAAAAAAAAAAAAACAAAAATCCTCAACAAAATATAAGTAGATCAAATCCAGTAGTATATAAAAACGGTTATACATGATGACCAAGTGGGATTTATCCCAGGAATATAAGATTGGTTTAACTTCTGAAAATGAATTAATAAAATACACCACCTCAATAGAATAAAGAAAAAAAACCTATGATAACCTCAATAGACACATGAAAACATTTGACAAAATTCAACACGCCTTCATGACAAAAACACTCGACAAACTAGGAACAGAAGGAATTCCTCAACCTGATAAAGCACATCTATGAAAAACTCAAAGCTAACATCATATTTAATGGTGAAAGACTGAATATCAGGAAAGAAAGAAAGAAAAGGATGTCCACTTTCACTATCCTATTCAGCATTGTGCTGAAGATTCTTTTCAGGACAGTTACACAAGAAAAAGAAAAGGAATTCAGATTGGAAAGAACAATGATATCTGCAGATGATATGATCTTGTATAAGAGCATCCTGTTGTCATGTTAAACTATTAGAACTAATAGTTATAATGATTAGAACAAATAAATGAGTTTCAGCAAGGATTCAGAATATAATATCAACGTTAAAAAAGCAATTGTTGCCGGGTGTGGTGGCTCACACCTGTAATCCCAGCTCTTTGGGAGGCTGAGGCGGGTGGATCACCTGAGGTTAGGAGTTTGAGACCAGCGTGACCAATATGGTGAAACCCCATATTTAAAAAAACAACAAAAAAAAAACAAATTGTTTTTCTCTTTTTGAGATGAGGTCTTGCTCTGTTGCCCTGGCTGGAGTGCAGTGGTAAGATCTCAGCTTATTGCAGCCTCAACCACCCAGGCTCAGGTGATCCTCCCAATTCAGCCTCCTGGGTAGCTGAGACCACAAGGAGCTTGCCACCATGCCTGACTAATTTTTTAAGTTATTAGTAGAGATGAAGTCCTTCTGTGTTGCCCAGGCTGGTCTCAAAGTCCTGGGCTCAAGTGATGGTCCTGCCTCAGTCTCCCAAAGTGCTGGAATTACAGGCATGAGCCACTGTACCCAGCCTTAATTATTTTTCTATGCACTAGCAATGAGCAAACAAAATGAAATTAAGAAAACAATTCAATTTATGAAGATATCAAAAGTAAAATCCTTTGAAGAAATTTAACAGATGTAGAAAACTAATTATATTAGTCCATTTTCATGATGCTGATAAAGACACAATCCCTATCAAAATTCTAGTTGACTTCTTTGTGGAAATTGACAAGCTGTTCTTGAAATGCATATAGAAATTCAAAAAGACCTAGACTAGCAAAAGCAATTTTGACAAAGAATAACAAAGTTGGAGAATTTATACTTTTCCAATTTCAAAATTTACTGCAAACCTATAGTTATCAGGACTGTGTGTTAACAGAATAAGGATAGACATATAGATAAATAGAATTAAGAATCCAGGCTAGGCGAAGTAGCTCACTCCTGTATTCCCAGCACTTTAAGAGGCCAAGGCAGGCGGATCACTTAAAATCAGGAGTTCAAGACCAGCCTGGCCAACATAGCCAAACCCCGTCTCTACTAAAAAAAAAAAATACAAAAATTAGCCAGGCGTGGTGGCACGAACCTTTAATGCCAGCTACTTGGGAGGCTGAGGCAGGAGAATCGCTGGAACCTGAGAGGTGGAGGTTGCAGTGAGCCGAGATCACGCCACTGCACTCCAGCCTGGGGGACAGAGTGAGGCTCCGTCTCAAAAACAAGAAAAAAATCCAGAAATTAACCCTCACACACACAAAAATTAAAAAACAACAAAATCCAGAAATTAACCCTCATATTTAGAGTCAAATGATTTGGATAAGGGTGCTGGGATAATTCAATGGGGAAAGAAGAGTCTTCTCAACAGATGGTACTGGGACAATTGAATACCCTCCTATGAAAGAATGAAGTTGGATTCTACTGCACATCATGTACAAAAATGAACTGAGAATGGATCAAAGACCTAAATTTAAGAGCTAAAACTATAAAACTCTTAAAAGAAAACACATTAGGTTTAAGTCTTCATAATCTTGGTGAGTCAATAGTTTCTTAGCTATGCCTCCAAAAACATAAGCAACAAAGAAAAAATAAACTGGATATTATCAAAATTTAAAACTTTTGCGTTTCAAAAACACCACCACAAATGTGAAAAGACAACCCACAGAGTGGGAGAATAAACTGTAAATCATTTAATAATGGACTTATATCTAAAATATATAAAGAACTGTTAAAGTTCAGGCCTGGTGGCTCACCCCTGTAATCTCAGCATTTTGGGAGGCTGTGGCGGGCGGATTGCCTGAGCAACATGTTTTAGCGGAAATGAAACCCCATTTCTACTAAAATACAAAAAATTAGCTGGGCGTGGTGACATGCACCTGTCATCCCAGCTACTGGGGAGGCTGAGGCAGGGGAATCCCTTGAACCCAGGAGGCAGAGGTTGCAGTTAGCCGAGATTATGCC